CAGTTATGTTCCAGAAGGAATGACATCAGCTAATGAATGTGAATGTAGTGAACCATTGTCTCCTTGATCAGTTATGTTCCAGAAGGAATGACATTAGCTAATGAATGTGGTGAACCATAGTCTCTTTGATCAGTTATGTTCCAGAAGTAATGACATCAGCTAATGAATGTGAATGTAGTGAACCACTGTCTCCTTGATCAGTTATGTTCCAGAAGGAATGACATCAGCTAATGAATGTGAATGTGGTGAACCATAGTCTCCTTGATCAGTTATGTTCCAGAAGGAATGACATCAGCTAATGAATGTGGTGAACCACAGTCTCTTTGATCAGTTATGTTCCAGAAGGAATGACATCAGCTAATGAATGTGGTTAACCACAGTCTCTTTGATCAGTTATGTTCCAGAAGGAATGACATCAGCTAATGAATGTGGTGAACCATAGTCTCCTTGATCAGTTATGTTCCAGAAGGAATGACATCAGCTAATGAATGTGGTGAACCATAGTCTCCTTGATCAGTTATGTTCCACAAGGAATGACATCAGCTAATGAATGTAGTGAACCATAGTCTCTTTGATCAGTTATGTTCCAGAAGGAATGACATTAGCTAATGAATGTGAATGTGGTGAACCATAGTCTCCTTGATCAGTTATGTTCCAGAAGGAATGACATCAGCTAATGAATGTGGTGAACCATAGTCTCTTTGATCAGTTATGTTCCAGAAGTAATGACATCAGCTAATGAATGTGAATGTGGTGAACCATAGTCTCCTTGATCAGTTATGTTCCAGAAGGAATGACATCAGCTAATGAATGTGGTGAACCATAGTCTCTTTGATCAGTTATGTTCCAGAAGTAATGACATCAGCTAATGAATGTGAATGTGGTGAACCATAGTCTCCTTGATCAGTTATGTTCCAGAAGTAATGACATCAGCTAATGAATGTGGTGAACCATAGTCTCTTTGATCAGTTATGTTCCAGAAGGAATGACATCAGCTAATGAATGTGAATGTGGTGAACCATAGTCTCCTTGATCAGTTATGTTCCAGAAGGAATGACATCAGCTAATGAATGTGGTGAACCATAGTCTCTTTGATCAGTTATGTTCTAGAAGGAATGACATCAACTAATGAATGTGAATGTAGTGAAACACTGTCTCCCTGATCAGTTATGTTCCAGAAGGAATGACATCAACTAGTGAATGTGGTGAACCATAGTCTCTTTGATCAGTTATGTTCCAGAAGGAATGACATCAGCTAATGGATGTGAATGTAGTGAACCACTGTCTCCTTGATCAGTTATGTTCCAGGAGGAATGACATCAACTAATGAATGTGAATGTAGTGAAACAATGTCTCCCTGATCAGTTATGTTCCAGAAGGAATGACATCAACTAATGAATGTGAATTTGGTGAACCATAGTCTCTTTGATCAGTTATGTTCCAGAAGGAATGACATCAACTAATGAATGTGAATGTAGTGAAACACTGTCTCCCTGATCAGTTATGTTCCAGAAGTAATGACATCAGCTAATGAATGTGAATGTAGTGAACCACTGTCTAATTGATAAGTTATGTTCCAGAAGTAATGACATCAACTAATGAATGTGAATGTAGTGAACCACTGTCACTTTGATCAGTTATGTTCCAGAAGTAATGACATCAACTAATGAATGTGAATGTAGTGAACCACTGTCTCCTTGATCAGTTATGTTCCAGAAGGAATGACATCAACTAATGAATGTGAATGTGGTGAACCATTGTCTCCTTGATCAGTTATGTTCCAGAAGGATTGACATCAGCAAATGAATGTGGTGAACCATTGTCTCCTTGATCAGTTATGTTCCAGAAGGAATGACATCAGCTAATAAATGTGAATGTGGTGAACCATTGTCTCCCTAATCAGTTATGTTCCAGAAAAAATGACATCAGCTAATGAATGTGAATGTGGTGAACCACTGTCTCCCTGATCAGTTATGTTCCAGAAGGAATGACATCAGCTAATGAATGTAGTGAACCATTGTCTCCCTGATCAGTTATGTTCCAGAAGGAATGACATCAGCTAATGAATGTGGTGAACCATTGTCTCCCTGATCAGTTATGTTCCAGAAGGAATGACATCAGCTAATGAATGTGGTGAACCATTGTCTCCCTGATCAGTTATGTTCCAGAAGGAATGACATCAGCTAATGAATGTGAATGTGGTGAACCATTGTCTCCCTGATCAGTTATGTTCTAGAAGGAATGACATCAACTAATGAATTTGAATGTAGTGAACCACTGTCTCCTTGATCAGTTATGTTCCAGATGGATTGACATCTACTAATGAATGTGAATGTGGTGAACCATTGTCTCCTTGATCAGTTATGTTCCAGAAGGAATGACATCAACTAATCAATGTGAATGTGGTGAACCAATGTCTCCTTGATCAGTTATGTTCCAGAAGGAATGACATCAGCTAATGAATGTAGTGAACCATTGTCTCTTTGATCAGTTATGTTCCAGAAGGAATGACATCAACTAATGAATGTGAATGTGGTGAACCACTGTCTCCCTGATCAGTTATGTTCTAGAAGGAATGACATCAACTAATGAATGTGAATGTAGTGAACCACTGTCTCCTTGATCAGTTATGTTCTAGAAGGAATGACATCAACTAATGAATGTGAATGTAGTGAACCACTGTCTCCTTGATCAGTTATGTTCTAGAAGGAATGACATCAGCTAATGAACGTGGTGAACCATAGTCTCTTTGATCAGTTATGTTCTAGAAGGAATGACATCAACTAATGAATGTGGTGAACCATTGTCTCCTTGATCAGTTATGTTCCAGAAGGAATGACATCAGCAAATGAATGTGGTGAACCATTGTCTCCTTGATCAGTTATGTTCCAGAAGGAATGACATCAGCTAATAAATGTGAATGTGGTGAACCATTGTCTCCCTGATCAGTTATGTTCCAGAAGGAATGACATCAGCTAATGAATGTGAATGTGGTGAACCATTGTCTCCCTGATCAGTTATGTTTTAGAAGGAATGACATCAGCTAATGAATGTGAATGTAGTGAACCACTGTCTAATTGCTCAGTTATGTTCTTGAAGGAATGACGTCAGCTAATGAATGTGAATGAGAAATTTAAATGTAAGGAGTGCAAAGCCGAAATGCACGGGCAAAATGCTGGCCAAATAAAACCCGTGTGAATCAGAGAACATGAGAAAGTCGTATGGGGCATAATTAGAACGTGGGCGGTAGAAGATTATATAATGCCTTAGAAAGCTCATGTGGACATTCTCATTTTGGGCCAAGAAACTGTATGCATGGAGAGCAGAGAAGTGTGTGTCTATGTCTGAATGTATTGGTAGAGTTCTGGCGCCTTACCTGGCCAGGCAGCGACGACCGACGGAAATCGTCTGAGTCATGCCAGCTTATTGTGGTGAAAAACCAGTTGTTTTTATTTCATCATTAATGTGTGAAGACAGCTATAATTTCGGCTAAATGGTAAAGTTGCTCAGTATCTTTGTATATCTGAGTAAATGTTTGTGACCTAGACATGTCCTTCACTTGTACTGGCTGAAGAAACAGCAAGTGGAAAATAAAGTGTGAAACCGCATTGTGTTGTTCACTGTCGTCAATGTTACTCGTGGTGTTGATGTCGGTGTGTGAAAGTGGTGTCTGCAAGTGACTAGAGCCAGAGTCAATAAAACCAGAGTCATTGCAGACATGGTGCTTGCCCGAACAAAAGAGTCTCAGGACATTTTTGGGGGACAATATATCCCCAACAAGAGGACCTGAGATTAGCTACCAACCTGATATCGGGTAGAACCATTTCCATTCACAGACAGGAAATACAAGTCTGGTGATTTAGCAATGTAAGCGGGGAAGATTAAAGGCGACACCCCATGTACATTTGTTTAAGGATTAGATCATTATAGAAATGAAGACCGTCCAAACAAAAGAATCCAGAGGCTATGAACACTTGTAGGAAAAAGTCCAAAATCAAAGTTTTTTCAGCCATCTAACAACAGAAACGCAAACGAACAGTTGTAGACAGTGATAGTGCAGGAGCAGTCATCTATGGTAGCAGAGGAATACAAGTGTATACGCACAGATGAACATAAGACTAGGGCCCTCTACAGCAATTCTGAAGCCCTGTTGATTGTACAAAAATTGCTACCGACTACAGTGTAGTGAAGTACAGTGGGCTATCTGCACCAAGCAACACAAAAAATTGTCGACACCAGATCCCTCCATTCGGATCTGTTTCAAAATTGAAAGATCTAGCAACATTTACAACACCGGGTAGAGTGTTGAACCGAAGCCTAGATTGAAATTCCTGTGCAACAAGCTCTGGCACTGGGTATTTGTTCCACAGCTCAGCAGTAACAAGCGTGGCAGAACATTTAATAGAAACCTCCTACAGTACGAAAAGCCTGCGATACCTCAAGATCGTCAAATACCCATTATCTCAAGATCATCGAATACTGATCAATATCTCAAGATCATCTTAGAGGTGTCACGTATGTTTACTTGTGTATTCGTCAATTTTTTCTGTGACTGATCTCGTCTAGGTCACATACCTGCTGGATGAAAAATTCAGCTTTGGCCATACAGGAGTGGCGTCTTTTAAGACCTTTTGTTTCGTGTACAGCTTCGTGCACAGCTTCGTGCAGTTAGTGGTTAACGTCTGCTGATACCCTCATGTACACCTTGACCTGTGTGACTTTGTATTTGTTAGTCATCATCAGCAAGCCAAGGACATATAGCATGGTGTTGCAGGGGCTGACTTTTGTGCAGCCGAGTATGAGTTTCATGACCTCATTTTGTAATCAGTTGAGTTTTGCTGACAGTGAGGAGGTCCAGGCCATAGTCAATGATGCTTAATGATGGCATGTAGAAATATATTTAGAATGAAAGAGAATAAGATGGAATGTAGAAATATATTTAGAATGAAAGAGAATGAGATGTAGAAATATGTTTATTGTGAAAGAGACTTTGAACTTACAATGAGGGGATCCAGACATTGCCTCCTTGTTCCATGGACCAGATAAGCTCTCTTGGGATGTATGTTTTGGACTGCATCAATGTAAGCTTTCACCACAGGCTCGCAGGAACGGCAGGACTTCTCTATGGCTGCCTGGAACGTCTTGGTGATACCAGTTAGGATTTCCTTCCTGTAGGCAGTCTCCTGATCTTGCAAGGATAAATTGGCATGCGCCTGCAGCAGTTTCTCTATAAGCTGTTCATTCTGCAATAACCAGACACAGCTGTGTCAGCAAGTTGACATTAATCAAGTCCACCAGACACAGCTGTGTCAGCAAGTTGACATGAATCAAGTCCACCAGACACAGCTGTGTCAGCAAGTTGACATGAATCAAGTCCACCAGACACAGCTGTGTCAGCAAGTTGACATTAATCAAGCCCACCAGACACAGCTGTGTCAGCAAGTTGACATTAATCAAGTCCACCAGACACAGCTGTGTCAGCAAGTTGACATTAATCAAGTCCACCAGACACAGCTGTGTCAGCAAGTTGACATTAATCAAGTCCACCTTTTAAACAAGTTGTGTAAAACAACAACCAGATTTCACCCTAATAAATAGGTCAATAAAACAGTAATACTTAACTCTAGTAAACAAGTTAGTAAACATCAACAGTGAGCTCTAGTAAACAAGTAAAAAAACATCAACAGTGAGCTCTAGTAAACAAGTCAACAAATATCAACAGTGAGCAATAGTAAACAAGTCAGTAATCATCAACAGTGAGCAATAGTAAACAAGTCAGTACACATCAACAGTGAGCTCTAGTAAACAAGTCAACAAACATCAACAGTGAGCAATAGTAAACAAGTCAGTAATCATCAACAGTGAGCAATAGTAAACAAGTCAGTACACATCAACAGTGAGCTCTAGTAAACAAGTCAACAAACATCAACAGTGAGCAATAGTAAACAAGTCAGTAATCATCAACAGTGAGCAATAGTAAACAAGTCAGTACACATCAACAGTGAGCTCTAGTAAACAAGTCAACAAACATCAACAGTGAGCAATAGTAAACAAGTCAGTAATCATCAACAGTGAGCAATAGTAAACAAGTCAGTACACATCAACAGTGAGCTCTAGTAAACAAGTCAACAAACATCAACAGTGAGCAATAGTAAACAAGTCAGTAATCATCAACAGTGAGCAATAGTAAACAAGTCAGTACACATCAACAGTGAGCTCTAGTAAACAAGTCAACAAACATCAACAGTGAGCAATAGTAAACAAGTCAGTAATCATCAACAGTGAGCAATAGTAAACAAGTCAGTACACATCAACAGTGAGCTCTAGTAAACAAGTCAGTACACATCAACAGTGCAGAGGCACAAATAGATCATTACGGTCTAAGGAGAATGGCCTTGCGAGCAGTTACCAGGAGATCTGGCTGACGCCCAACATTCAATGGAAAGGTAAGACGAATATACAATCAGACACTTACTGGTGCCATCAGAATTGGAACTCTTCATTTGATTCTTAATTCAACATTCATCCCTACTTCATCAGAGAGATGCAATGGTGCATCTCTGTGATGGATGTCCTGGACACCTCCAGGCAGGGGGGTTGGGGGGGGGGGGGGTGGAGTGTAAACCCTTCCTGTAAATGTCATATCAGCTAGAGGTAACCTACAGATCCATGTCAACTATTTGAATGTCCTATCAGACAAGTCAGCTCCTAGAGTATTTTACAAATCCATGTCAACTATTTCAAGTCCTATCAGACAAGTCAGCAGTCAAAAGTATTCTATAGATCTATATCAACTATTTGAATGTCCTGTCAGATATGTCAGTTACTAGAATATTCTACAGATCTATGTCAACTATCTGAAAATCCTATCAGACATGTCAGTTACTAGAGTATTCTACAGATCTATGTCAACTATCTGAATTTCCTATCAGACATGTCAGCTACTATAAGTAATCTGGGGTCCACGTTAGCATAGTCGATAGGAGACTTGCTTTTAAATCCAGCTGTGACTTGCTGCAGCCCACAGCCAGTGTTCAAAACCGGAAGGTTCCCAGGGTTCACCAAGCCTCTAGGTAAAGGGTACCAGAGTTAACACTCGGAGTAAATGTAGGAACGTCGCTGCAGCTGCGGTGTTACACGCAAACAGCGACACAGGCAGACAGTTTTCAATACGACTCTGCATTGATTTCTGTAAACTGAATCAGCTTATGGTTGTTGATGAAGAGGGTATATCCAATACGGAGGAATTGTTTAATTCCCTGGCTAGGGCTAAATATTTTTTTTATGAAGCTCGACTTGGCCAAAGGATTTTGGCTGGTTTTTTTGTCACAGGAATCGAGGAAATATTCAGCATTCAGATCGAATTTGGGCTTAATGCATTTTTGATACTTGACTTTAGGATTGTGTAATGACCATCGACTTTCACAAAGCTCACCAGGAAGTTGGTTCAGGAACATACTGATGTCATTCATTATTTCTTCTTCTTTTTCTTCAGCATTCCAAGCCCTTGAGGTTCATTGCTGCAGATATCACCCACCTCCATTCATCTCTCTGGCTGGCCCTCTCTTTCCAGTTTGTGACATTATTTGGATGACAACTTACAAGACCATATACTTGGGTTAAGAACCATGTTAGAACATTTAGGAGAGTTTGGACCGACAATAAGACCAACCAAGGTTGAGGTAGCGATGGAAGATGGTTAAGAACCATGTTAGAACATTTCAGAGAGTTTGGACCGACAATAAGACCAACCAAGGTTGAGGTAGTGATGGAAGATGGTTAAGAACCATGTTAGAACATTTCAGAGAGTTTGGACTGACAATAAGACCAACCAAGGTTTAGGTAGCGATGGAAGAGGTCATGTTCTCAGGACATAATACAGGGAGGAGGTTAAGGAAACCCATACCAGCAATTGTGGATAAATTCCTGAAGTTTCCGGTTCCTAGAACAAAGAAGGAAGTAAGAACTTTATTGGGGCTGGGAATTTTTTATTCTAAATTCATCCTATACAACTCAACCACCACAGCTGCACTGTCTTTGTTAACTATGAAAGGTATGCCAAACAAGATAAAACGGACAGAGCAATGTGCAATAGCATTACACGACTTACAAAAACCAATCACTTGTATGCCATTGTTACATTTGCCTGATCTATCTTTACGTTTCCATCTTTCATGTGATGCTTCCAATGTCGGGTAGGCAGCTGTTCTGATGAATGAACACAATGGATGTTTGCATCCAGTCCTACATGCCAGCCATAAACTGACACCGGCAGAGACCAGATACAGCGTTGGGGAACGTAAAGCACTGGCCATTTACTATGCTGTCTCTAAGTTTGCAAACTTCCTCTATGGTTGCAGATTTACCATATGGACTGACCATCAGTCACTGCAATCCTTAATTCAGGTTCTATTAAAAATGCTAGGATCTTTAAGTGGTCTTTAGTGTTGCAGAACTTTTCCTATAACATAATTGTTTTGTTTTTTTAATGGCAGGAAGAATCTGCTAGTGGATTACCTTTCAAGGTTGAACACGGGAGAAGTGTCACCTTAAATGGCAATATAAAGGCCATGTAATTATATCAATGTTTCCAATGTGATTGAAATTTGTTGACATACTGAATGCTTAGTATGTGATAATACTATTGACATAGAAATCACATGTTCAGATAATGTTCTATATTTGTAGAATAAACACACAAGAGGACTTCTAGCTTCACAACTGACATCACTTAATTTTGTTAGTTGTCAGCTGGGGAAAAGAGGAGGGGATATTGTTGCGTGCTGATTCAGGCAGATTCGGAAAGGTTGTACCATTGCTGGGGACAATGTCATGTGAACTGTGTTTTCAGGATTGTCCCACGACCTGAGTCAATATTAGGTGCAAGAGGGCGTTGACTTAGGGCTGGATGGACCAGTGGATTCAGGAAGTGATCAGCCCAGTGCGGCCTTAGTGCGTGGATAGCAGCTATCGCATGGACAAGTATGGGCTTCTCAGTCAAGCACAGCCGTGGGTTATAACTGCACAAAGACTCACAAGAGACAGGCATTTGTATATAGTAGGGTTCAGTTCAGCAGTTGGAAGAGAGAGGTCTACTAGAACTTGTCGAGAGAACAGCCGTGATGAGAACGTTCGAGGCGGAAGAACTCGCAAGAGACAAGCATTTGTATATAGTAGGGTTCTGTTCAGCAGTTGGAAGAGAGAGGTCTACTAGAACGTGTCGAGAGAACAGCCGTGATGAGAACGTTCGAGGTGGAAGAACTCACAAGAGACAAGCATTTGTATATAGTAGGGTGTTGTTCAGCAGTTGGAAGAGAGAGGTCTACTAGAACGTGTCGAGAGAACAGTCGTGATGAGAACGTTCGAGGCGGAAGAACTCGCAAGAGACTGGTCTAGATGACAGTCAAGAGTGCAGTTGAAGGAAGAGAGGTTCAGTTGGCAGAGTTAGGCCTGGAGAGCTGGACTACTTCAAGAACAAGCTGTCTTGGGTGGCGACGCCTGTGAGGCGGTAGGACCCCTAGTAAAACAAGACAGCGGCGATGTTGGTGACTGCTGTGAACTGAAGAGGTCTTAGGCTTGGAGTCCTACCGGTCATCAGAGTTTCTTTGATGAGGTTGATGTGCTGTGTGCACATACTGGAGTTTAAGAATCAGAAGTTTTGCAGTCAGCCGATGTGACTGTGTCTGCTACGTATAGAGAAACAGAGGTCAAGTTGAGTAGGAGATGTAACCTATTCATCCATATAGCTAGCCTTGAAGTGGGGCGGGGGGGGGGGGGCAGTAGACCTAGGCAATGTAGCGGTTATCTCAACATGTAGTGGCAGCTAGTGGAGGCTGTCTGAGAGAGCGCCGCTGTGTAAGTTGGATCAAGCGAAGTGAGGTACATTCATTTCATAAGATAGCCAGTGACGTTAAGGGATACTTTGCTTGCATTGTTATGTGTACGGGTTTGTCTATACCCGCTTGAAATTGTGACTATAAATGTGCTTATATGGTGGCAACAGGTCATTGAGTTTTCCTGACAGTTTTGTACGCAAGTTGAGTACAACAGTTGGAGTGTGAATCATATCCTGGACACTTGGTCTGCCCATTAAGCAACTTTAGCACACAACAAACCCATACTCACAAACATCTGACACTTACAAGCATCACACATTCACAAACATTACACACTTACATTCATCCCATACTCACATACATCTGAGACTCACAAACATCCCACACTTACAAGTTTCTGGGTGACAATACTGGTGGCTCCCGCAAACTGGCCAGGTGCTACTGTGATGACCTTCACCTTGAAATCTGCCATCTCCCTTCGCAAGCAGGCAGAGAAAGCCTCTAACCCAAACTTGGAGGTGCAGTAGGGAGAACTGTTCTTCCAAGGATTGTAACCTCTCTCACTAGTGACGTTGATGACTCGGCCTGTACAGACACACAGATAGACATGTAACCTCTCTCACTGGTGACGTTAATGACTCGGCCTGTACAGACACACAGATAGACATGTAACCTCTCTCACTGGTGACGTTAATGACTCCGCCTGTACAGACACACAGATAGACATGTAACCTCTCTCACTGGTGACGTTGATGACTCGGCCTGTACAGACACACAGATAGACATGTAACCTCTCTCACTGGTGACGTTGATGACTCGGCCTGTACAGACACACAGATAGACATGTAACCTCTCTCACTGGTGACGTTAATGACTCCGCCTGTACAGACACACAGATAGACATGTAACCTCTCTCACTGGTGACGCTGATGACTCGGCCTGTACAGACACACAGATAGGCATGTAACCTCTCTCACTGGTGACGTTGATGACTCGGCCTGTACAGACACACAGATAGACATGTAACCTCTCTCACTGGTGACGTTGCTGACTCGGCCTGTACAGACACACAGATAGACATGTAACCTCTCTCACTGGTGACGTTGCTGACTCGGCCTGTGCAGACACACAGATAGACATGTAACCTCTCTCACTGGTGACGTTGATGACTCGGCCTGTACAGACACACAGATAGACATGTAACCTCTCTCACTGGTGACGCTGATGACTCGGCCTGTACATACACACAGATAGACATGTAACCTCTCTCACTGGTGACGTTGATGAGTCAACCTATACAGAAACATAGACAGACGTTTGACCTCTCGCTGGTGACGTTGATGACTAGGCCTGTGTGTGTTGTCCATCAAGATAATGATGACTACTCTTTTTCATCAATTATGAGTACGAAGATGACTGATGAGGCTGATGCTGGCCCGAAAGATTTCTTAGACAGTGAGGACAGGGAATGAGTGTTGTGCCAGGGAGGAGATCTCCTGCAGTCGCCTTTCTGTCCATCCTTTTCCTAATCAGTCTTGCTGTTCTGTTTGCTTCACATGTAGCTGCGCCCTTGTGTAGAGTTACACGCCATGCATTTCGCCCTTGAGCGGCAGCCTCCCAATTGGTGTCATTCATCAAAATGCTTTGAGTGAGGACTTCAAGGTGTCCTTAAAGCGTTTCTTTTGCCTGCCTTGGAAATGTTTCCCATTTTGCAGCTCACCATAGAAGAGTTTTTTGGGAGCCTGTGATCTGGCATGCGTGCCACATGAGCAGCCCAACGAATTTAAAACTGCATCAGTAGAGTGTGGATGCTGGGCCTGGCTGCTTTCTCAAGGACTACAGTATCAGGTACTTTTTCTTGCCAACTGATACGCATTAGTATTCTAAGGCAGACTGTGTGAAAGCTGTTTAACTTTCTAGCCTGGCGCTAGTATACAGTCCATGTTTCACATGCAAACAGCAGTGTAGTTAATACAACTGCTCTGTATACTTTAAGCTTTGTCTGCAGGATTATGCCACTTTTGATCCAAACATTTTTGTACAATCTGCCAAAGGCAACGCTAGCCCTAGAGTTCCTTGCATTTACTTCATCATCAATTATGGTGCTCTGTGAATGGGTGCTACCCAAATAAGTAAATTTCCTGACAATATTTAATCTGTGGTCATTCACTGTGATATTGGGCTCGTTGTATATTTGCCCTGGGGCTGGCTGGTGCATGGCTACAGTTTTATCTGCCAGTACAGACACGCAGACATGTAGCCTTTCTCACTGGTGACGCTGACTAGGCCTGTACAGACACACAGACATGTAGCCTTTCTCACTGGTGACGCTGACTAGGCCTGTACAGACACACAGACATGTAGCCTTTCTCACTGGTGACGCTGACTAGGCCTGTACAGACACACAGACATGTAGCCTTTCTCACTGGTGACGCTGACTAGGCCTGTACAGACACACAGACATGTAGCCTTTCTCACCGGTGACGCTGACTAGGCCTGTACAGACACACAGACATGTAGCCTTTCTCACTGGTGACGCTGACTAGGCCTGTACAGACACACAGACATGTAGCCTTTCTCACCGGTGACGCTGACTAGGCCTGTACAGACACACAGACATGTAGCCTTTCTCACTGGTGACGCTGACTAGGCCTGTACAGACACACAGACATGTAGCCTTTCTCACTGGTGACGCTGACTAGGCCTGTACAGACACACAGACATGTAGCCTTTCTCACTGGTGACGCTGACTAGGCCTGTACAGACACACAGACATGTAGCCTTTCTCACTGGTGACGCTGACTAGGCCTGTACAGACACACAGACATGTAGCCTTTCTCACTGGTGACGCTGACTAGGCCTGTACAGCACTTAACTTTCAGACCACAATATAAAAATATACATAATGCATACAATCACACACACTAAAAATGCAGAAGTACGCATACTATTACATTATGACGTAACTAGCTGTACCCGGCCATGCGTTGCTGTGGCCCAGAATGGTGAAATGGAAAAGAAAGAAAATAGCTCTCGGCTAACAGTGTCTGTCATTACCCCCCCCCCTCCCCTCGACCCAGTCGTATTTCCCTCTCCGAGGATTGGAAAATCATCCCTGGCGAAATTATTAAAATAGAAATAGTTAGGAAATGAGAACTGTAAGATAAAATTTTAAGCTCTCTCAGCTAACAGAGTCTGGCATAACCCCCCCCCCCCCCCCCCCCACTCATATCACCCTCGCAGCCTAGCTGTAAACCACACCACAACGTGGAAGAAAAATAGTTTTTGATCGAGTGAAGCTTTGCGGGGAGGCTAATTGGGACTTTAATGAAATTGGATGTCTTTGGGTGAAAGGCGCAGATATCGCAGCCTAGCTGTAAACCACAACACAACGTGGCAACCACCCTCTAAGGGAAAAAGAACAATTATCACCCAGCGGGGAATCAAACACCCGTGTGCAACTATACTACCGAAGACTGAAGAGTTTAGGTCAGATATCGCAGTCTAGCTGTAAACCACAACACAACGTGTCAATGGCCCTCTAGAGGGCGAATGAAGAATACCCGTGACATGACCATTGAGCATCACGTTGTCATTATCGCAGGCTAGCTGTAAACCCAAAAACAAAAACAAAAAGGCGTAGATATCGCAGCCTAGCCATAAACCACAAAAACGTGCCAGCCGCCCAGTTAAGGGCCCAAAAGAAAACATTATATCACCTAGCGGGAAATCGAACGCGGGTCACCCATTGAAAGGCAGAATATATACAACTACGCTACCAAAGACTCAAAAACTTGGTGGAAATGAAATTATATAATAACGCAAATTTCAATAAGAAATAATGTCTCAGGTTCCGGTCATTACATGCCCAAATACTCAGTCAGGAAATGGTCGTGGGAATGTAGATCAATCAAGTCAGTTCAACTCCGAAATGCACAATAGAATTTTTTTAAACGAAATACAAATCACAATAGGAAAAAACAAAGTATACTAGGGGCTGCAAAACCCAGGCTAATGTGACCAAAAAACCCAAGCAAAACATAAGCACACAAAAAAAAAAAAGAACACGAAAACAAAAAGCCAAGAATGATAAATAGTATGAAATCTATAGAACGACAGGAACAATTTACCCACTGTTATGTAAGTATATAATGTGGGGGAAAAAAGGATACACTAAAACGACAAAGTAAACAACGCTGCAAAATGTGAACCCAAGGCGTCATTGGCAGCCCTGCTCAGCAGTCAAAAATGGCCAATGAACTAAAAACTAATCCAGGCTGGCATTGAAACCAATAATGATTTGACCGTTGCTGGAGCCCCGTTGTTTATGGTTTGTGCGATTTTATGACAAAAAAACATGCCTTGAGCCAAAGGCAAATTTGTGTGAAATTTTGAAAGCAATCAGTTCAGTAGTTTCCGAGTCTGTAGTTAACAAACTCGGAAAATTAACATTTTTTATTAATACAGATTAAATTTAAGCTGTTGTATAATCATTGGTAAGCATAAATTCAAGTTTGCTGTTAACTCTTTGAGTCCCAGAGGGTTTAGCATCAGAGGTCTAAGGGGTAGTAAACAGAGACTACAACCGATGCATCTTGCATTAATCAGGTTTCTAGATAAGAGTCTATGAACCTATGATGCGTTCTTTGGGACTGAAAGAGTTGAATGAGCAGGAATTTTTTGCAGTTTTCAGATCAAGTGGAAGGTGGATCCACAAATGAGCAGCATATTATGCTAAACGTTTTTTAAATAAATCAATTCTAGATTTAGGCAAAGATAATAAGCTCAGTCGTAGGATTGGACTGAAACCAAAAGTAATTTGGAGTATTCTGAGATAGGATTTTAGGAATGGTTTGGCCTCGTTAAAAATTAAACGTTCACTAAATGGCTGAAATCTTAGGTGAACAAATAAAATATTTTTTTTCTGATGTAATTTCTTTTGCAGGCTATGCATAAGGCCTGATTTTATAAAGAACACAGCTGTTTAAAATTAGATTTGGAGCAACCATAAAACTGTTGAACAATAATCAATATGCCTTTGGACATAGGATACTTAACATATTTTACATGTACTTTCATTCAGAAAGTGCTGAATTTTGCCAAGCTGATAAACTTGTGCTATATTTTTGGTTGTGGCATGAACTTGGGAACTTCAAGTTAAATGGCTGTCAATTAAAATACCTTATTTTTGGAGTTGAGCTAAATTAATAATAGGTAGTCTGTCAATAAAGATCTCAAGAGGTGGCTACTGCAAAACTAATGTTTGTAGCTTTTGCCTAGTTGTCACTACCATGGATTTAGTTTTATTTATGTTAATTTGCATATGAATATCTCTGCTCTTTTTTATAAGATTATCTATTTTTTCTTAAGGAACTGTTTAACTCACTACATTTCTCATGACTAGTATATATTGTACAGTCTTCAGCAAACAGATCACATGTTATACTGAGATCTACTAAAAGGTCACTAATATAAGTGGCAAACAATAGTGGACATAATATTGAGCCCTGAGGGGCACTTATTTTAATTTGTGTAGGTCCTGAATAATGGTTTGTCAAGTGTGTGGCTACAGGATGACGGTAGTT